CTCCTACTCAAAGGCCTGGCGGAAGAGCTCCGTCTTGCAGGCCCTGCGGAACTGCATAAGGTCCCGCAGGGCCCGGATCTCCCCCGGGAGCTCGTTCCACCAGGTAGGAGCCGCCACTGAAAAAGCCCTGCCCCTGGTCGCAGCTAGTTTAGCATCCTTGGGGCCCAGGATGACCAACAGATTTTGGGCCTGTTGACCAGGCAAGGGGGGGGAAGCATAATTAGCTTCATTCTGCTTCCCAGGCTCTGATCGCGAGCCCATTTCCTTGAGCTCCCAAACCGGGGTCCCAAGGGCTGAGCAGAGATGTAAAATTTCTGGAAATTTTGAAGCTCAGGAAAAAAAAACAGTTTTTCCCCAGTTTTTTTCGGGGGGAAACGGAAATTTTCAGAAAAATTGAAAGAAATGCTACATTAGCACTTCTTTTTTCTTTTCCGGATTGAAAGTCATTCTGTTACTTTGGGAACATAAAGTATGACTATGGACATTTTTACTTGGCATGGAATTATCACAACTAGCATATTAAAAATATAGTGTACCCAAACAATTATTACAAACAGAATACCCACCCACATGCAAAAACAAAACTGAAACCTTTTTCTTGGGGGGGTAAACAGTTTTTCCCCGAATTTTTCCGGTTTTTTCCCGGGCCTTCACATCTCTAAGTGGGCCCCATCCGAGGCGAGATGCCGGCCTCAGGCCTGAGATTCCCGGTGGTGCGGACCCTGGAGTTCTGGGGTCCCAGGATGTGGGGGGAAGGTTCCTTAGAGCATCAGGAGGTCGGATGGAGGGCCGGTCCTTTTCGACATCTCTCGTCCTTCCCTTGCAGCCCATGAAGATGCACCAGGACTCTCTGGAGGAGCAGCACGAGGGAGCCGAGCCGGAGCCCGTCTACGAGGAAGTGGGGAGCTTCCCCATTGGGGGGTTCCTGGAGCTGAGTCCTTCCCTGCTGCCTCCCGTGGATCGGACCAAGAAGCCCGCCCCCTCCTCCGACCCAGCACCGCCCAGCTCCCTGCCCCCCTGCCCCGCCCCGAGAGCATCGGGGCCGGACTCCGCAAAGGCCCCCTCCCTCGAGAGGGGCCTGTGGCTAGAGCCGGACAAGGCCACCATGATCAGCAGACTCCCCAGACACCGGGGGGTGACTCACAGCGGCGCTGCGGACAGGACAGCCGAGCCACCCTCAAGGGCGCTTGCCCCCAGCAGGGAGCAGGCGCCAGCGATGCCAGCCCTTCCTCCAGAGACGCCGCCTGCCCTGGGCACTCACGCCGGCGAGACGAGGAAGAAGAACGTCTCGCTCGGCGACAGGCTCATGGAGGAACTGAGCACGGCCATCTTGCAGAAGAACGAATGCCAGGCCCCTCTGGCGCCGGGACTGCTGGACCTCTCCCCAGCGGCTGGGGGCCGAGAGAAGCTGCAAGGGTCCGGCCCTTCCTAAGAGCCGTGAGAATGGGTTAGGGGGAAGGCAGTGGGCCTGCCTGATGCCTGTCTGGTGCAGAAAGGCAGTTCAGTAGACTGCCCAGCCCGTGGCCTTCGAACAGCCTCCCTCCCTCCCTTTCCTCTTCTGTAGCAATGTTTTATCAGAGGTTTTGTTTGAGGATCAGGAGGGGGTGGAAGAGAGGCACGGAAAGGACTCCCTCACCCTGCCTGCTCATATTCTTATGAAATAATGTAGTCACGCCACATTCAGGGCCGTGTCTGTGCCACTGTCCCTTAGCAGCAGACAAAGGACACGGTCTCTGAGGTGGACGGCAGAATTCAGCTTCCTCGGAATCTGTGCTTTCCCTTGTAAGTGCGTAGACCCTCTGGCGGAGGAGAGAGACTGGGCAAGTATGTGAGTCATGCTGCAGTCTCAGGAAACAGATGGATGGCTGATTGCTACTTGTGGTTAGGGAAGAGGATTGAGGGCCCTGCACTGCGCCTTCCTCTGCCCCGTTCTGTCTAGCAGAATACAGGATGTTATCCCGTTGCAGAATAAATGACGCAGCATTCGAGGGAATTACACCAATTTGCTCCGTTTGCACAACTGATATTGTGCTGCCCCCAGTCAGCATTATCTGTAGTTTAGTAAAACTGCGCTGTATCTTTAAGACTTGTTGCACCTGGGAATTGGAGTCCACAGTTAGGCTCGCACTGGACAGGACAGATATAACAGTGCCATCCTCAGCAGAGTTACACCTGTGTAAGCCCAGCAGCGTCAGTGGATATTGAAGGGTATTGCTTTTTATGTTGTTCAGTCGCACAGTCGAGTCCGACTCTTCGCGACCCCATGGACCACATCACGCCAGTCCCTCCTGTCCTCTGTTGTCCTCCAGAGTTTGTTTGATTTCATGTTCGTTGCATCTATGACACTCTCTAACCATCTCATCCTTTGCCGTCCCCTTCTTCTTTGACCTTCAGTCTGTCCCAGCATCAGGGTCTTCTCCAGTGAGTGCTCCCTTCTCATTGGGTGGCCAAAGTATTTGAGCTTCAGCTTCAGTATCTGGCCTTCCAGGGAACAGTCATGGTTGATTTCTTTTACGATTGACTGATTTGATCTCCTTGCAGTCCAGGGGACTCTCAAGAGTCTTCTCCGGCACCATAATTCAAACACATCTATTGTGTAAAGGTAAAGGTCCCCTTGCTCAAAAGCCAGTCGAGTCCGACTCTAGGGTTGCAGTGCTCATCTCCGTTTCAAAGCCGAAGAGCCAGCGCTGTCCGAAGACGTTTCCGTGGTCATGTGGCCGGCATGACTAAACACCAAGGCACACGGAACGCTGTTACCTTCCCACCAAAGTGGTACCTATTTATCTACTTGCAATTTCTTGCTTTCGAACTGCTAGGTTGGCAGGACATCTAGGTGCCATTTGGATTATCTGGTTGCAGAATGTTTGGTAG